TGTGCGGTTTTCAGGACTGGCTCAAGAAGATTTCAAGCTAAGTAGTTATTTGCAGCTCCCTCTGTTGTTTTTTATCAGAGGATATGATTAAGGGCCGTCTGGTTCTTGGCTCAAACACATCTGTCTATTCATTCTTGTGTGTGTTCCTTCACAAACATAAAGCACCTACTGCTGGGTACTAAGCTTGGTAACCTGGTATATTATCAAGAGACCCTGAGAACTGGCCCGAGACCTCATAGATGCTCTGGTCAAACCCTTCATATTGGGCACAAGAGGTTGCTGAGGTTTAGAGTGGGAATGACATTTGCAAACGGTCATACAGCAAATCATTGTTTTGTGTTTTTAATTTTTTCCCAACCTTATGAAGACATAACTGACATATAACATTGGGTAAGCTTAAGGTATACAATGTAATGATTTTGTATTTGTATATATTGTGAAATGATCACTAAAATAAGGTTAATACATGTTATCACCTCACATAGTTACAGTGTGTGTGTGTTGAGAACTTTTTAGATTTGCTCTCTTAGCAGCTTTTGAATATGGAATACTAGATTTGAAACCAGTCACCATGGTTGTACATTGCATCCCCAAAAATGTTGCTGTGTTTTTTCAGTGATGATCTACAAAGGACCAACAAGCTTATGAAAAGATACTCAACATTACTAATCATTAGAGAAATGCAAGTCAGAACTGCAGTGAGATACCCCCATGCTCGTTAGGATGATTAGTATAAAAAAAGAAACAACAGCGTGTTGGTTGAGAAAGTGGGAGCCTTGTGCTCTGTTGGTGGTGATGTAAAGTGGTAAAACTTTACACTGGAGAAAAGGATGGTGATTCCTCAAAAAAATTAAACAGAATTACCATATGACCCAGCAATTCCACTTCTGGGTATATACCCCCCCAAAATGGAAAGAGAGACTCAAGGAGTTATTTGTATACCCATGCTCACAGCTGCATTATTCACAGTAGCTACATGTGGAAGCAACCTAATGCCAGATGAATGGCTGAATGAAGTGTGGTACATACACACAATGGACTATTATTCAGCCTTCAAAAGGAAGGGAGTTCCTGTGACCGAACAATTGCACTACTGGGTATTTACCCAAAGATACAGATGTAGAGAAACACCAGGACACCTGCACCCCGATGTTTATAGCAGCAATGTCCACAATAGCCAAACTGTGGAAGGAGCCACAATGCCCTTGACAGATGAATGGATAAAGAAGATGTGGTTTATGTATACAATGGAATATTACTCGGCCATTAGAAATGACAAATACCCACCATTTGCTTCGACGTGGATGGAACCGGAGGGTATTATGCTGCGTGAAATAAGCCAATCAGAGAAAGACCATCATCAATGTGGTTTCATTCATATGTAGAATATAAAAAATAGTGAAAAGGACCATAAGGGAAAGGAAGGAAACTGAGTGGGGAAAAATTAGAGAGGAAAACAAACCATGAGAGACTCCTAACTCTGGGAAATGAACAAAGGGTTGCAAAAGGGAGGTGGGTGGGGGATGGGGTTGCCTGGGTGACAGGCACTGAGGAGAGCACTTGATGGGCTGAGCACTGGGTGTTATATGTTGGAAAATTGAATTTAAATATTTTTTTAAAAAAGGAAGGGAATTTTCCACTATGCTACATATTGTATATGAATATACATATTCATATGTATATGAAGATACATATTCATATGTATATGAATATGAATAAACCTTGAGGACATTATGCTAAGTGAAATTAGTTGGTCACAGAAAGACAAATCCTACATGATTTATAGGACTTCCATGAGATACCTACACTGGTCAAAACCATAGAGACAGAATGGTGTTTGCCAGAGGGAGGCAGGCAGGGGCAGGAGTTTCAATTTTGCGAGATGCAGAGCTCTGGAGATGGAGGGGCTGCTGGCTGCACAACATCATGAATGTACTTAATACCACTGAACTGTGCACTTTAAATGGCCAAGATAATGAGTATGTTATATGCATTCTCTCACAGATCCTATCTCTTCTGTTCACTTTGAATCTTCTGTGCCTAGAACAGTGCCTGGCACTTAGTAGTTGGCTGTGTTAGTTTCCAGGGGCTTCCGGAACAACGTACCACAAACTGGATGGCTTTAAACAACAGGCATTCATTTTTTTTTTACTGTCCTGGAACTGGTGATCTGAAATCAAGGTGTTGGCAGGACCCAGCTCTCTTGGAAGGTTCTAGGGAAGACTCCTTCCTTGTCCCATCCTTGATCCCTGGTTTGTAGCTGTATCTCTCCAGTCTCTACTATGGTCTTCACACAATCTCCTACCCTGTGTTACAACCTCTGTGCCTCTGTTTTGAAGTCTGTTTTTGTAAGGACCAGTCATTAGATTTAGAGTCCCATAATCTAGTATGATCTCATCTTAACTTGGTTACGTCTATCAAGATCCCATTTCCAAATCAAATAACATTCACAGATACCAGGGATTAAGACTTCAAAAAGATTTTTTTTTGGGCGGGGGATACAATTTGACCCACAAGGGTAGCTAATAAATATGTTGAACAAATGATCTAATGTTCTCTGAAGCACTGCTATAATTTGATGAACTCTCAAATGAATTCAGGGAAAAGGCTTCAGAAGGCATCGTTCTGCCCGTGCTTTGTGATGATCAAATGGTACATAAAATGTCTTTTTCTGACGATAGTAACTAGAGTGTTCAGGTCAAGAGAAATAATGGCTCCAATGTTCTAGGCACAGATTCAACCTCAGGGGGGACAGGAAGTTTTAAGTGTCACATTCTCAATGTTCTTATATATCTAATTTACGAGAGTAATTTAATGGCATTATAAAGTTTAGAAAAGAAAATCAACCACCATCCCACTACCCTAATGTTCTTTGGGAAAAATTCAGGAGGGGAACTTTCCAGGTAGAGGAAACAGCAAATACAAAAACCTTGGGGCAGGCATGAGCTTGGTGTGTTCAAGGAGCAGAGAAGGCAGCACAGCTGAGGGTAGCAGCATTCCACAGGCTGATCCCAGTCTCTTGCTGGACATCTTTGTGGGTGTCCATCCAGTTCACGAACCAGCAACCTTCCTTTATTTAGTAATCCTCCTCCAAACAGCCTACTTTCCATACCCCCTCTGCAAGCATGCTAACCCACAAGGAGGATGTGGTGTGGACCTGGTGTCTGTGCAGAGGAGAGGAGATGATGGATACAATTGGGTCCTCTCTCCAAGTCATTTGGAATTGGGACAGGATAAGGGCGAAGCAGTCTCTGGAAAGTTCTGTGACCCTGGAAAGCTGTGGAAAAGGTGCTCTCTACTTCATCCAGAGGCAGTGGAGGCAGGTCAGTAGGAAGAGCAGCAGGGATTCAGAGCTGAGTCAACAGTCAGCTTGCTGATGCATCCATCCTGACAGTGGGCAGGATTCCTGCCTCTGGTTCCAGGGCACTTGCCCATACCCCTATCATATGTTCTCAGTTCTTTAGCAGAGGCTGATTTGGGTCAACCAGTAAGAGAAGTGTTTTGAGTAAAAGAATTCTGTGGTCAAATAATTTGGGAAACAGTGAGTTAAATAAAATTTAATAGCTTTTTATGTGCAGGACTTCGCAGAGCCTTTAATAGGATTGTGTACATCCAAAAAAGAACTCCAAATTAAAAACAAGAACAAGAAAATGCAAACCTCAAGTGAGCTGCATTTCCTTCATTGATTTCTCAGGCTACACTGGGAAATGGTGTAACAGAGCTAAGCGGGGAGGCTTTCAGCTTCCATTTTGGCTCAGTCCTGGAAGGCTGAGGACGGTAGACGAGAGCCCAGCTATTCTGACCAGGAACACGCCTGTTACTGAAAACGTTTTATCCAGTAAGGAAGGACAAGACCGGAGAGAGCACAGTACCTGAAGGGACAGAAAGAGAATATAGTTAGTTATCCTCTGTTGTCCGTTGGGTCCAGCCTTTCTTTTTTCTTTTTTTTTTAATAAATTAATTTTTATTGGTGTTCAATTTACCAACACGCAGAATAACACCCAGTGCTCATCCCGTCAAGTGTCCCCCTCAGTGCCCGTCACCCATTGGTCCAGCCTTTCAATGAAATCACTGAAAGCTCAGAATCATCCCAGTACATTCGTCAACTCCAAAATCACATTCCACTAATGGATGTGCCCCCTCACGCGAGCCGCCGACAGTGTATGCCCGTTCACAAGACGATTTACTGTCGGCCTGTGGGGACTGAGTCCTCTGCTTCGATCATTCAGGAAAGATTAGAAGCCACGGGCTTCCCGACTGACCCCCAAGCACCCCAGGGCTTGCCCTTCATCTCTCCTGTGTTCACCCGTCGCCCCCCGCTGTGCTGGTCACTTGGGGTGGGAACTCGGGTCTGACGATGCAGGGAATCAAGGTCCAAGCTGACACCCGACAGAGAGGGAATGCAGGGCAGAGGGCGTTGCGGGGGGCAATAGGGACCCTGCGCTTGGGTGGCTGGGGTTGGGGGCCGGGTCTAAGCTTTACGAGCCAGAGGAGGGGACAGCGATGCCGGGCTCTAGGGGCCAAGTGGGGGCTCAGGCGGAGTCAGGCCCACTGTGGGGTGCGGAGGCCCGGAGAGCCGGTCCGTGGCAGGCTCGGACGCCCAGCTCCCAGCCCATACTAGCATGCCTATTGCAACTGGGTGTAGGAAACAGGTTTTATGTGATGTTTATCCATGACAGCCATTCGTCCACACGCCTCGGTGAGTCACGCCCCGCCTGGGGCGGCGCCTAGAGCTTCGAGCGCTCTACCCGGGCGTTGCAACTGCGCCCTCCGCGGACGCCTGCGCGCGAGGCCGGGTGGGGGGCGCCCACGCGGCGGGCTCCTCCGCAGAACCCGGCGACCCCCGCCCGCGGCCCCGCCCCTCCGCGGCCCCGCCCCCTCCGCGGCCCCGCCCCCTCCGCGGCCCCGCCCTCCGCAGAACCGCGACCCCGCCCTCCGCGGCCCCGCCCCCCTCCACGGCCCCGCCCCCTCACGGCCCGCCCCGGGGCGGAGACGTCGGGAGCAGGGGGCCCGGCTGGGAGCCGAGCGCCGCGGCCGCGCTCCGAGTCCGCCCCCCGCGCTCCAGGGTGGGGCGCCCTCAGAGCTGAGCGCCCGGAGCGCGGCGGCGGGTCCCGCGGGGCAGGTGCGGCGCGGCGCGGCGGCTGGGCCCTCGCGCTTGGCGGGCCGATGTGCCCGGGTGTCGGGGCCTGTGGACCTGGGCTCAGGTGAAGCTCTGGGAAAGGGCGACACGGCGGGGGCGAGATGGCGGACGAGCCCTGCGCCCCCGGCGCCCCGGGAGGCCAGCGCGCACCCCGCCCCGAGCCGCGCCTGTCCAGCCAGCTGCTGCCCGAGCTCTACACCTTCGTGGCCCGAGTGCTGTTCTACCTGGCTCCCGTCTACCTGGCCGGCTACCTGGGGCTCAGCATAACCTGGCTGCTGCTCGGCGCTCTGCTGTGGATGTGGTGGCGCAGGAACCGGCGCGGGAAGCTCGGGCGCCTGGCGGCCGCCTTCCAGTTCCTGGACGACGAGCGCCAGTTCATTAGTCGGGAGCTGCGGGGCCAGCACCTGCCGGCCTGGGTGAGCTGGGCCGGCCGGGACGCGACGGAGGTCGGAGGTGGGGCGGATGCTCTTGGAGGCCCGGAAGGAACCCGCGGTCCGCCGGGGAGCTGGGGCGGCAGCCCCGCGACCCGCAGCCCTGATGCCCCGCCAGGCGGCGCCCCCAGTGTCATCCCCGTCGCCGGCCCCGACAGCTCGGGGAGGGGGAGCCCAGGCTTCACTTAAGGGCCCAGAGCCTGGGAGAGAAGTCACGGGCGGGCCACACCCAGGAAAAAAAAAAAAAAAACAAGGGCGTCTGGGGCTTTGCAAAGTTACTCGGGAGGGAAGCAGGAGGCATTTATTCCACCCGCCTGTTGATTCACAGGAAGAACGTGGGGCGCAGGGCTAATCCGCAAACGCAGCAATGATAGAAACTGCAGACTAGTTGCCTCAGCAGAGGTCGGGATAGACAGAGGGGACCCGGGCTAGAGATGGGATGGAAGAGATGGGGTGGGAGGCTGGATCCCCAGCTTCTCTCCCTCCCTCTGCCCGGCAGGGATGCTCAGACGTGCCCAGACACGTAAACACATTCACACTCTACAACTACAGACCTATCTCCTCCGGCTGTGAAGTGGCCAGGACTATGGTTTCTTAAATGCTTCTGGCCCTGAGAATCACCTGGTCCACTTAACAAAAACAAGTTCTTAGCCCCACCTCACAACTCCCAGGTGGAACTGAGGCACCTAGGTGAATCCAGGGATGAGATGAATTGGGGAAACACAGGCAAGTCCCAATAGGCATTGCATCCAAGATTTGGTCTGTGCCAAAACTACACTTCTGGGTGCTTCTCTGATTCTTCCAGATATACTCAGGCCCACAGGGGGAGATGTCATCAAGTGTCAGCATGGTTTGCTTCTTCTGAGGCTTCTCGTTGGTTTGTAGATAGCTATCTCCACCATGTCTTTATATGGTCTTCCCTCTCTACATGTCTCTGTGTCCAAATTTCCCCTTCTTATAAAGTCAGCAGATTGGGTTAGGGCCCATCCTAGTGACCTCGTTTTAACTTAATCACCTATTTAAAGGCCTTCCTTCTAAAAACAGTCACATTCTAGGGTGCAGGGGTGGTAGGATTTCAACATACAAGTTTGGGGAATATGGTTCACCTTGTAATACTGATATTTAACATATAGATTGACAGTTCAGTTTTATAAATTGGTTTTTATATATTGAGGATGAGGGAGCCAAAGCCTTCTGCTAAGGGTGCAAATTAAAAAAGCACAATGACAACTTTCCTAGGGTAGCAGCCATGGGAACAGTATTTGGGGCTCACCTCTCAAACTTGGTTTTCCTGATTATTCTTTGGGGGCTTATCCTGAAAGATCTGGATCCATAGAGTAGACCTGAACCTATGCACACTCCTTGCTCATTGTTGAGGGAGTCTTGGATGCCTGTCAGACCTCTGTTGGGACCCCATGGTGGCTTCAATCCATGAGGGTGGGCTGTGAGGCCTCACCAAGTGACCGCCCTCCCTTTCTGGCCCTTGTGGTATTAGGGATGGAATAAGCAATGTTTCTGAAATGGAGGCAAGAATCAGATCCTATAGTGGCATTGACATGCCCCAACCACCACTACCTGCCCCCATGCATGCAAACACCAGGAGCAACATGAAATTACCCAACAGGTTGTTCAGCCTGATGGGTAAGACAACACAAGAAGCTGCCTCACCTCACACACCGTACTCCAGGCCTGACCCAGCTGGGTATAGGGTACACCGAGGAAGGTGATGGTGTCTCTCCTACCAAGAGGACAGCTGGGGGCAGGAAGTAGATGTATATAGGTAATTGCCATGGAGGTCTCCGAGGAGCCAGAGATAAGAGTCTCAACAAGGTCCAGTGAGGGGTCGAAAGTATGGAGTAAAGGACATCCTGCTTGATTTCCATCTCAGATTGTCACCAGACCATAGCCTCCCACTTCCTTGGCAGAATCCTGGGAGGGGCCTGGCCTCAGCTTGCATTCTCCAGATTCTCCTGGCTGGCTTAGATGGCCAGTTTGGTGGGCCAGGCCTGGATTGCCTTTTGGATTGAGGCAGTGGTGCTACAAAGCTGGAGGAGGCTTTTGAGCACAGTGTGGCCAGTATATAAGGGAGCACCATGTGGTTTGGTTTGGCTCAAGTGTGTAGTAGGGCCCTGATGAACAAGGGGCCAAATAGAGGGGGGCTTGATGGAGCTTGGGCCTGTTTCTGAAGGCTGCAAAGAGCCTTCCTTGGAAGGTTTCCTGTGGAAGGCTTTGGAAAGATCCTATAATAAGCAGCATGGTCGGGGAGAGGAGAGGGGAGGTGAGAGGAAAGCTGGAAAGACCAGATGAGAAGTTGATTTAAGCCAAGATGGTGGTAGTGGGGTCAGGGGAGGGGGATGAGAGACGTGTAAGAGCGGGACTCTGGGTGTTTGGTGGCCTCTAGATTAGTGTGAGATCCAGGAATCTTCCAGGGTGTTTTCTGATCTGGGGAGCTAGACATCAGAATGAGAAGCAGGTCTGGGGAGGTTGGTTGTGTGAACACCTAGAGCGAGCAACTAGATGCAAATGTGGGCTTTTCGCCTTGCCTCGTGAAAGCTGCCAAGCCTGAGGATGATGCCGAAAACCTGGAAGCCACTTGATTGAATATTCTTCTGATCTTGTCCCTGTCTTCCGAGGAACACATACAGAGACGTGGCTCTAGGTGTGGTGGGGGCAGCATGACTCTTGCCCACGGTTTTAGATCATGAGTGTCTTTATCCTTACATAGACCTTTTGGTGTGTCTTTGTCCCTGTTTTGAGAACTGATTTCCTTGCATGGAAGTGGGGTCTATGACTTATGACCTCCTTTGGTATCAAGAAATATTTTTACAAGTTAACGGCAAACCAGCAGTTGGCAGGGAGGGGTGGGGTTAAAGAAAATTGAGGGTCTTGGCTTCCACCCTTGGGCACAGTCGCGCAAGTCATCCCCTCTCCACAGCAGCACCCAGGGAGGGGAATGTGGAGAATCCAGCCTGCATGCTGCATAGACAGGGCATCTTGTTCTAATTTGCACCAAGCCCCCTGAGGGGGTGGAGGCCCGGGCCAAGCTGAGCTGGAGCAAGTCTCCCCTGGCAGGCCATTGCTAGTTCTTTTTTTTTAAAGATTTATTTATTCACAAGAGACACAGAGGCAGGAACATAGGCAGAGGGAGAAGCGGGCTCCCTGTGGGGAGCCCAATGTGGGACTTGATCCCAGGACCCCGGGATCACGACCTGAGCCAAAGGCAGACACTCAACCACTGAGCCACCCAGGCGTCCCGTCATTGCTAGTTCTCATTGGAGCAAAGACTCCTCAACACCTGGCTCCACCCTTCTGCCTCCAGGTGATCACTGTATTCCTTTCTTTCGCTGAGCCTCAGTGTCCCCACCTGTAAAAGGAGGTTGTTTCTGGTCAAACTTCACACAGCCCTGCCTTTCCTTTGGTTCCCTTCTATGGAAGAGATAGCTGGAAGAAAGGGTTCCTCACAAGTAAAGAAGCCATGGATGCTCTTATCTGGTGAACGTGGCCTGGCCACTTGGAGAGAACAGGCCAAGCTGCCCTCGCTGCTCATGCTCTCACTGGAGCAGTAGCTGCCACTTGCTGCTCATGGGCGAATGTTTGGTGTTTGTGAATGGATTTTGATATATTTTTATATAAATCTTGCACACAGTTCTTAGATATATATTTCAAGGCATAAAGAGCCTCTTCCATCAGCCCCCCTCACTAGGGCCGGGGACTGTGGATAGCATAGTGACCAAAGTGGAGTCCTTGCTGCCCCAGAGCTGGAGAAAGCCCAGCCCCACCACTCCTCTGGCCGCAGCTCGGGAGGTCGGTTCTGCAGGCCGCGCTGGTGGGCCGTGAGCTGCTGGTGGAGAGGAGGCCTGCGTGCGCGCTTAGTGGGGCTGGCTCAGGGCTGGCTCAGCGGGGCTGGCGCTGCATCCTCAGTCTCCCAGGCCTTCTAACGCCACCTTTCCCCAGAATGACACTCATCACCAAGTGTCTCGCCAGCAAACATGTCTGTGGTCTCAGGTCTAGCCGGGCTTGCTCTCCAGCCAGCTGATAGCAATCAGTTGGCAGCTCTGTTAGGGACAATTAACCCTGTGTTTCTGCTGGGATGGGCCTGGGGGCGGGGGCCGATGTGATGTGGTGGCAGGTGCGGACTTGGAGTCTGACACTCATTCACTGGGGAGCCTTGAGAAGGTCCCCTGGATCCCTGATTCCCCTCTGAAAATGGCAAGGCTTTAGGAGAGGCCCTGTGGAGTCTTTTTAGCTGCTGGAGTCTGCTATCATTAATCAGAAAAGGTTGGCTTTTCCGAAGTGCCTCAGGCCCACAGGACCCTGTTCGGTGGCATTTCTTGGCTGTCCATCATCTAAATGGGTGCGCCCTGGGGACATCAGCTAGGCAAGCACCAGGGTTAAGTGAACTGTTCACGCAAAGCAGTGTGCATCCCAGGGCTCCCAGCAGTGTCCCCGGGATGGTCCCCTCCGAGCCTCCCTGCCAGCCATTCAGGCCGAGGACCAGGGTTGAGGGCTTTGCTTTCCTGGGGCTGAGCTGGCATTCTTTCCGTGGGTGGAGCAGCAGTCAGCCAGCGCCCAGGCTCTCGTGGTCTGTCCTGTACTGACACTTTTGTTAATTAGAGGAAGTAAATGCAATGACAGCGCCGAGCTGGCCGCTCAAATTAGTTCAGTTCTTGGAGCCGGAGCCGTGGGACCTGGTCTTAAACATCTGCTTGGAGTTAGGGGACTTCTTGTGAGGTCCCCGCAGCCCTGGGAGGTCATGCGAATGGCTTGAGGTCAGGCTTGTCCTCAGGAAGGAAGAAACAGAGCACGTTTTAGTCGTGCCCCTTGGGTCTCTGCCCCACGTCTTAGTGATGCTTCATGGACTGACAATGTCTTAGGCCAGGATTGGGCAAGAAGAGGGACGGAATATGGGCGTCTGCCCCTCCAGGCCCAACCCAAGGATCTTAGGCATCCGTGTGTTCATTCCTGTACTCTGTCAGGAAACATCT